CTCCAGGTACATTCTTCCTTAGTTCATTTATATAATAAAATGTAATGAATACAAAAAATGCAGTATTCATCTCATTAAAAAATATGCCACTTGATAAACCAGAACCTCATCTGAACATAAAATGATGTTGATTAATAAATTTAATATTAACATCCCAGACTCAAAATTGTACTTTGAGGTTTCTAGGAGACAGAAAGCTCATCTAACTAAGGCGCAGGAATCAGCATCAAACAAAGGCTCTAATCCCAGTTTTGCCACGGACCTTTTGTTGGACCATAAATTATTTCACCTCCATGCTTCAGTCTCCCCATGTCTATAAAAAAAAAGGATAATGATCTCTCTCTCAAAGCGTACAATCAAGCAACATTCTTGGAAGTGATTTGAATTTCTCTGTTGGAAAACTTTAAGTGGCCAAAGATCCATCACCATAGGTGAATCTTAATTATTTTTTTAAGTGCAGTTAGGCTTTAAAATAAAATTTAATTCAATTCAGCACTCATATTTCCTCAGGGAACATACAATTCTCATTGAACCAATATAATACATCAATGAAGAGATGAAAATTTTAACTTCTAGATCTTCCCCTTTCACAGCCAGAATTCTCTGAAACTGCAAAGCAATATTAAATCTTAATTGTGCTTCAAAGCATGTTGAATTTCCAACGGACAGGTATTAAAAAAAGTGCCTCAAAAATGTAGATAATAAAAGATATCACATCTATGTTATCCTAAACTTCAAAACATATGTATGCTGCTAAGGACTGCACATCAACTAAATCTAGAGCACATCATAACTCTTTATCAAGACACTGTGGCTTCTAAAAAGTATTTCTATTCCCTCCTTATCAAGCAAAATAGTCAGCATTCTTCAAAGAGCCAACCACATCCTTCTTAGTACACAACTAGAATCCACAGTGAATGAAAAATGGAAGGCAAAAAAATTCCTCTCTTTCAGCTAATGTGAGCAAGGAAGGCTGTAAATGTTCTTTATCTAAAACAGAAAGAGAACAGTTGGAATTTCTCTGGTATTTACACACAATGTAATTTTAGGAAAAAAAGGGTATTCCAAATTATAAGGGTGGTCTTGGGAAGATGTAGGGTAGCAAAGGGATCTTTGCTCATGAAGGGGCTGTGTTGTGGTAATTGACAGCTTGGTTATTTCTTGTTGTAATATATATTTTAAAAAAATAATCAAAGTTCTGCATATTTTTATTTATTTGTTTATTTATTATAACCTGGACAGTCATGTCCAGTTAATAATCTCAATACCCAACCAATCTACCTACCAAGTAAAACATCTATAGGAATGGCAGACATTGTATGGGGAAGAATGCACTGAATAAGAAGTTAATAACTACTTGTGTGCCTGGGGGGGAGGGGACGTTTCTACACAAGATGCTTACTGCAGAGCTGCCTATTACCTCCACAGTAAAGCCTCAACATCTATACATGTGCCCCTATTAGGCCGCAGTGAACTAATAAACACCATCGCAGGATAGTACATGTGAACACAAGTACTATCCTGCAGCCACATTATACAGCATGTTGCAATGTACATATGTAGATGCTGACAGGGCTGGCTGGGGCATAAGGGTGCTTCTGTGCAGGAGTTGCCTGCCAATTAGCCCCTGCACTGAAGCACGCTTGTGCCCCAGCCAGCCCCTCCGCAGCACACTGAGCCAGGCTGGAGCAGCCCCAGACTGGCAAGCTGACCCAGTTCAATAGGCTGCAGTCCCAGGCACACATGTAAACACAGCTCCTACAAGCAACAGACTCCAGCATGAACTGCACCAGAGTTTATTTAATTACATTAATAGCATGTATAGATGCACCCAAAGTGTGTGTTAATATTCTATGGATCTGCAAATCACTATACACTGCATACTGCTCTGAGATGGTAACAAGACTGAACAGAAAAAGCAAAAAGACGACTGCTGGTTAGAAACAGTGTTAGTCTCAATATTCATTGCGTCCACTGTATACAAATACAAGGAATCCAGCAGATGGTATATCAACAAATGATCTTGTAGAGTTCTACAGTAAGTACATCCTTATCAGGATAAAACATATTGTAAACACTGCTATTTGAAACAGCCTTTTTTCTATGTCTCATTTAATTAAGTGAAAACAAGCTACTAACAATAGAAATGGATGTGCTTGTAAACATTCTCATGCTTGATTTTTAAATAAAATAAAGTCCTTCAGACAGCAGTTCATAATTAAATGCATGATTGCAGATGGAATCTCTAACTCTATCAAGTAAAACTGCAAAAAGCCATTCTGGCTGATGCCTCCGTGACCTCAATTTCCCCCCCTGATGTTTCCATTACTATATCAAATGTAAATAAATGAAAAAATAAAACCAGAAGTGTTGGAGCCCAGTGGGACAACAAGGCTGTAGAGTTTGAGTTTGTTATACCGCTTTGCCTGACAATGGAAGAGAAACCTTACATAACTTTAAAAATGAAAAAGAATGAAGTGCCATGTAATTAATCAAGCGCACATTTATTTCTCTCATTATATTAGTTATTACATATTTCATAGTTGTAAATTCATAAAAACCTATCAAAATAAAAAAATATAATTACACAGAGAATGTATGTGATACTTTTCTCCCCCTTAAATAATCAACCACCCTTGAACTATGCAGTACATTAGAGCTAAAATATGAGACGAGGCCTGCCAACTTATGCAGCAAACCTATGGCTCAATCATTTGGCAAACTAGGGATTATGCAGCAGTGTAAGTAGTTACAAAATCATTCAACAATGTTTAATTTTAATGAAGCAATTTGAACAATGTGCCATAAATGTGCCATAAAGTCAGAGCATATATAATGAGCGCTATTGCCCCCATGCAGAGAAATAGTAAAAGCATAATGCTTTGGAGGCCTCATACAAAAAGTACCACCAGGGTACAACAGTACCAGGGGCTCATGCAACTAACCAGGGTATGGACTGTAAGAAGCAGAGACAAGCTAATCAAGCGCTGATCACCTGAAACTTATTTAGAATAACTCACACCTGAAAAAAGTGGGGTGGCACACATGGTGGCAGCGTATGCCACCCAAAACTGAAGCCTGACTGGCCAGAGTCACACTCCAATTGCCAACTAAGCTCTGCACACCATATTGCCACCTCTGAAACCCTAGGAAGCTTCCAGGATCCCAGGTAAGGTTGTTGGAGCCAACCCCGGTGCTGGCCCCAGCCTCCCCATCCCCACCCCCACCTGGGGCAACCTGCCATGTGCCAGAGCATTCCCTGGGGACAAGCAGCAGTGGCACCACTATGTGACACTGCTGTTTGTCCCCCGAGGAAACACACGTGCACTTGTCTGCATGAAATCTTAGGGTGCATCCAGACGAGCGCACATGCGCCTTTTACAGCATCTCAAAAGCCCTTTGAGATGTTACAAGAGGCATGTACAGGAACAAAAAAAAAAAAAAAAAATTCCCCATGCTGCAAAATTGCAGCATAGGGGCAAAATTATACCCCTGGATATCTAGGAGTCAAAAAATACCCCGGGCAAACCAAGCGAGGCAGGGTATAGCCCAGGACCCCACTTCCTGATTGTCCCCTGCCCCTCCCACGTGGTCCCACTCCCAGTCGCTTCCTGCTCACTTCCCTGCCCAGCGCCAGCACAAGGACTCAAAAAAAAACAGCCCCACACTCACCAGCAGAAGCAGCGGCCGTCAGGGTTACTGGGGCCTCCTCGCAGAACCCTCCCGAATCTCATGGGGAAGCGAGGACTGACCCCAGCCACTTGGCACCTGCACTGCCACTGCCCCATTGTGTGGGTGCAGTCTACATCAGCAGGGCTCCGCGCAGTCAGGCAGCTGAGGCCACTGAGACTGAGTGGTGCTGGGCCCGGGGTGACAGCTGCAGTGGCCCCAGCTGCCCGACAGTGAGCAGAGCCACACGGCGCCCTGTCAACCCAGGCCACACCCACATGATGGGGCAGTGGCAATGCGGGTGCCAAGCAGCCAGGGCCAGTCCCCACTGCTCCATGCTATGTGTAGGGGACTCTGCCAGGAACCCCAGTGATCCTGACAGCTGCTGCTACTGCCAAGGAATGCAGGCCTTTATTATTTTTTTATTTTTTTATTTTTTTAAGTGCCAGGACTCTGGGGCTGGGCGGGGCAGCCATCAGAAGGGCTGAAGTTGTGGGCAGGGGGTACATGGGCCATGCAGAGAGGAAGTAGCCCCTGCAGAGGGCTGGTGGCCCCTGTTGGGGGGAGCTGTGGCCTCTGTGGGGGGGGGCAGTCTGAGAGCTGTGCAAGGGGACTGCACCCTGCAGGGGGCAGGGGACCCACCCCTCCTGAGCAGCCCCCACTGAAGTCCCCCCCATGATCCACCCACACCTACCCACACATCCCATGGCCTGCCACATCCCTTCACAGGCATCCCCCCACCCCCCTTCTCACCCCACCTTCTACAAACCCCACATCCCTCCCAGCACACACACTGCATGTCCAGGTGTCAGATAGGATGAGACCTGCTGGCAGGAGCTGTGCCTGTAGAGACAGCTGTCCTCACATCTTGGTGAGTGAAGGAATCCATGGAAGCTCTAACTGCTCTATGATGAGAAAACCAAAGGCAAACATCAAAACATATATGTATTTAAAATTAATTTTATTATGATGATAGAGAGCCTGGTAAGCTTCCAAACTGCTTTAACATTGCAGATATCTCAATAAAACATTGCCCAACTGGGGGGCGGGGGTGAGTGTGAGTGTGGTGATCTTCTGTTTTAATTGTGGAGGAACATGGATTTCAGAATATTTTACAGAGTGACTTTGGGATTTTTTTATCTGGGATATTTTTTTAAATAGGGAACACCAGAATTCCTGCTAGCAAGGCACATGCCAGGACCCATGCAGAGAAGCCTGCTCAGCACTGGCACCTAGGACCCAGCTGGAGGTGGCTGCTTTGTTCAATTCAAACCAGGCCACCACACTGAACATCTTCCAAGCAATAGCTGCCTAGATGGCTGAGCAAGGGGCACACATGGCAGTAGTGCCACACAAAGGCTAACTCTGCAG